TATATATATATATACACTGTATTTATTCATGTATAATACTAGAAATTTAACCCTAAAAGCCATCCATAAAGTGGGGGGATTATACACGGGTTATTGATAATTAAATTTTTATGCTTTGTAAGCTCAAAAAATTATGATCGTATTATACTCGAGATTGTATTATACATGAATAAATATGGTATATACATATATGTATAGATATGTAGATAATTTTTGTTTGTGTAATATCGGTAAATATCAGTTATCATCCATAACAGTAATAATAATATTGATATCGACTGAAAATTTTATATCGTGCAGATTATATCGAGTGCTGTTTGTGACATCACAAACGGTTGGTGTTTGAAAACAGGTTATTTCAAGACACACAAAAAATTACTTATAGTTGCAATACCTCTGAGTGCATTTCTTTGGTGCTTAGACTGTTAGTAGAAGCAGTACAGAAAGTACAAAACCTGAAAAAAGCTAATTTTGCATATTAGGTCTCTTTAATCACTCTGTAGATATGATCTAACAAGAAAAATACTTTTGCAGGTTTGTTTTTGCTACAGCTAAAAGTGATGATGTAATTTTGCAGCAGTGGGCCTTACAGGGTTATCATGTTAAAAAAAATTAACTGTCAGCGTACCAAAAGTTGCTGATGGTGTGTATCTTTGTTCCCTTCTAACTAAAACAGCTGAACATGGAGAAGCTCTGTTGTGGAGCAGCTGGCTGGAGAAGCACCCAGAGACCACAGAGGTGTCTACAGACCCCCCTGGAACGGTTCCCGCTCCTTGGGATCACCCCGATACAAAGCTGATGTGGGAGAAACATTCTACAGACACCTACTACTCATACTGGGAGTCTTACTCCTACTGGGCCTCTCAGGGCTGGACTGCTGACCGGCCTGGCTCTGAGGGGAACACCGGCGGACAAGACCCATTAGAGGTGACGGAGACTCCTGAAGGTGAGACGGGAGCTGAGGACCGAGAAGCAGGAAACAAAGTTGATGTTTTGAGTGAGCTGTTGGGACAAAGCTGCTGTGTGGATTCCCAGCCACACAAAGACTGTGTGAGTGTTAGGCCTGTCGCGATAGTCAATAAATCAATTAATCGCACGATAACTTTTTTTGAGGTCGGTAAAAAAAAAGACGCCGATAAGTTTCATTTTCCTGCTTGTTTGTTTACTTCGTCTCTCTGTTCCGCTGCACAGGATGAGCTCCTGTGAAGAGCTCCTGCAGCTGACCCCTCCCCTCCTGTTTTCTTAGTGTGGGAGGAGCGAACTCTCGCTTTAGCGTGAGAGCTAGTT